CTCTAGAAAATTACATCATGCAACCTTTTTAAAGTATGCTAAGCGAAAATTAACAATTGAATACTTAAAAACAACTTACTTAAGTAAACTTTTTTAAAAAAATTATTAATTTTTACCTTAGTTGTTTCTGCCCAACTCAAACGTCTCGTCGACCGTTCAGGAAGAATGTGGGTGATGTTTAAACTGGTTTGTATATAAATAATCTCTAGCTGTCTCGCTCCACAGGCAATTTTATACTTAGTGACCAGATCAATTGAGACTTCATCAGAAGCGTCAAAGGATGGAGGAAAAGGAAAATCATTAAAGTTTCATATATTGATAAAGTTAGTAACAGCTTAAGTGAAGGCCGGGGATCTTTTCTTCCCATTTGCTGGTTTTTACACGTTTTAAAAAAATGCACCATCTCTCTATAAATGGCTATAAGTCTTGAAACTCGCTGCTCTCTTCTATAATAAGATCAGGTGATTTGATTTCAGCTGGAGGATATTATGTTCTTACTGATTAAACAAAATAATATAAAGTCACCCGACTTATACCAAGTATACATGTTTATCATTTTGGAAACTGAAGGAATTTTATGAGATTTACTTTTGACTAAAATTTTTAAATGTTTATTTTTCTCCTTCGAGGACATTTTAATGACTATGTTTATCGTTACAAGCTAATTCAGAGAATTCGTGTCCCCCGCTTAGGGAAAAAGTCGGATCCCCCTGACTGAATTTGTAGAATTATTAAATGTATACATGTATACTGAAGCAAATAAAATACATGTATGTCAATATGCATATAAAGATTTGATTGCTTATTCTGTATTATGTGTATAGAAGATTCTTTTTATATGGAATATTTATCACACTGTAATGATGATTTTATAACCTCATAAATTTTTCATTTCACATGCTGAATACTATCATTTAATAAAAAAAAAAGTATTTAAAAAAAAAAAAAGAAAAAAAAAAGGATCGACCGAGATTCGAACCCGGGACCTCTCGCACATGAAGCGAGTGACATAACCACTAGACCAAGGAACCGCTTATCACGGTATGAGGTATATGCAGAACTAAAACATACATGTATATATTCATGTTCGGTATTCTCAAAATTTTACACAATCCATGGTGTTTGATTTATTTAGCCTTTATTAAACAGTTCTAATAGATGTTATAAGAACATAAAGTCCGCCGAGAACCTGTTTTATACGCAACAAGCTAATTCAGAGAATTCGTGTCCCCCGCTTAGGGCTGAATTTGTAGAATTATTAAATGTATACATGTATACTGAAGCAAATAAAATACATGTATGTCAATATAAAGATTTGATTGCTTATTCTTCATTATGTGTATAGAAGATTTTTTTATATGGAATTTTTATCACACTGTACATAATGATGATTTTATAACCTCATAAGTTTTCCATTTCACATGCTGAATACTATCATTTAGTATAATAATAAAAAAAAAAAAAAAAAAAAAGAAAGGTTCGACCGAGATTCAATCCCGGAACCTCTCACACTTGGAGCGAGAGACATAACCACTAGACCACGGAATCGCTTTACATGGTGTGAAGTATATGCAGAACTGAAGTCACATACATGTATATATTCATGTTTTCATGTTCGGTATTCTCAAAATTTTACACAATCCGTGGTGTTTGATTTATTTAGCCTTTATTAAACAGTTCTAATAGATGTAATAAGAACATAAAGTCCGCCGAGAACCTGTTTTATACGCAATAACTCTCCTCATGCCCCTGCGCTAAAAATAGCGACATGTAATACTTTAAATACTAATAAAACAAACGGGGCAGGGCACTTTGAGAGGGGTGAGAGACGTCCTAGGGAGTTTTGATATAAAATTACATTGCATAAGCTCAAAATCTTCTTGAAATATCGCCCGGAAATGATAGTGTTACACACAGACAGAATGTATAAATTTACGACCTTCAACTTTGACCTTTTGACCTCAAAATCAATAGGGGTCTTCATTAGGCCACAGGGAGTTATGTAAAATTTCATTGCAATAGCTCAAATGGTTCTAGAGATATCGTGTGGAAACGAAAGTGTTTTAACAGACAGAATTTGCTTATTTATGACCTTGACCTTTGACCTTTTGACCTCAAAATCAATAGGGGTCTTCTTTAGTCCATAGGGAGTTGCTATGCTAAATTTCATTGCAAAAGCTCAAAGGGTTCTCGAGATATCGTGTGGAAACGAAAGCGTTACAGACAGACAGAAAGACGGACGGACGGACGGACGGACGGACAAACCCAAATTAATATCCCCCACTTTTCAAGCGGGGGACAAAAACTCAGGTAAATTAATGATATTGAATCATAAAAATTCTTACAAACAAAGATACATAGAAGGTTCCAGTAAATGTGCTACCGAGCCTCTTTCCTCACTCCTCATTAAAATATAAACAGTAGTGAATATTGACAGTTGCGAAGGAGAAACTTCAAGAGAACTATGCAATAATATATTCGAGAAGTGGTTTAAATTAAATGCACATGGATACTTGAAATTCTAAGGAACTTTTGGAAAATTTGAATCCACGAAATATTATTGAAACCAACAACATAAAAACTTACGACTTTTGAACTTTATATATACAACAATACCCCACGATAAGTTAAAGTACAGGCGTTTTGATATCAGTAACAGCTGCTTTTTCAGTAATAACGGAACTCGTTAATTTACTTGCCGTGTCATTGGCCATTTTCAAAATTATTTCGTTAAAAATATTCTGATTGTACACACAAGTACCTCTAAGTTGATATTAAAAGATGCTTGAGTTTCTGATTGACAATATCTGTGTTTTTTTTTTTTTGAATCATGTCTTTCAACAATTGATTGGAAATACCATGGGTACCAAATGCGCTCCGTTATTAGCAGACTCATTTTTATATTCATATGAAGCAAAATTTGTTTAAAATCTTGTACATGAAAAGACGTAAAACTTGCTGTGGACTTCAACTCAACGTTTAGATATATCGACGACGTATTGTCAAATAACAATGGTAATTTGAACTATTTTCCATTCCCATGTCGATACCATATATCACGGTTATCTTGAAATAAAAGATACCACAGAGTCTGACACATTTGTTTCATAATTGCATGGGATATTTTACAATAAAAAGACGTTAATCGTAATGAAACAACCAAGCTTTATGATATTCATTCCTACATGTACCTGTTCCCACGTGTTTGTTTGTAGAATTAACCTCTGACAACCAACTTTACGGATAATCCTCGTTAATATATGAACGATGTTTTATCAATTATCATTTATCAATATTCATAAATATAATAAAAATGGAACTCGTAAATTTACTTACCTCGTCATTTGCAAAATTATTTTGTTAAAACACATTCTGACTGCACACACAAGTACTCTGAGTTGACATCAAACAGATGCTTGAGTTTGTGATTGACAATATCTATGTGGCTTTTGGTGACCAGGTATTCCGACAATCTATTGCAATTCCTATGGGTACCAATTGCGCTCCGTAATCAGCGGACCTATTTTTATATTCATATGATGCCGAATTTGTGCAAAATCTTATGTGTGAAAAGAAGAAAAGACTTGCTGTCGCCTTCAACTCGACATTTAGACATATCGACGACGTATTGTCAATTAACAATGGTAATTTCAATTCCTACGTCGATACGATATATCCTAGTGAGCTTGAGATAAAAGATACCACAGAGTCTGACACATCTGTTTCATACTTGGATATTTTTCTTGAAAAAGACGTTAATGGTAATCTAACAACCTAGTTATATGATAAACGTGATGACTTAAACTTTTCTATCGTCAACTTCCCTTACAAATGCAGCAATATACCTTCATCACCTGCATATGGGGTTTATATACCGGGTATCTCAGTTGATTCAATACACAAGAGTATGCTCTACGTATGAACACTTTGTAAAACGAGGTATTTTATTGATTAACAAGTTGATGAAACAAGAATATCAGCAGTCTCGTTTAAAGTCATCATTTTGTAAGTTCTATGGTATAGATTGATTAGATTCAATGACCCTGTCAGCAAATTCATACTTTAACATTGAGTGAAATGCTGACTGACGTTTTTCATACTACTATAGTTAGTCCATTATTTATACACTGAATTGTCGACGGATATTTTTCTTTATTTCCCGATCATGACAAGGAACACACAGCGGGTGTGACCGGTCTGCAGGGGATGCTCACTCCTCCATGTTTTCTCTGCTCCTATTTTGTATTGTTTTATGGACTTTTGATCTGGAATACTGTTCGTTATCTCCATATGTTTCATTTGAAGATGAAAAAAATGTCTGGACATCTATTCAAAACTATTTCATTTTAAAAACATTGGGATGTATGTAAATTATAATACAATTATGTTATAAGAAATAATTATATACCTTTTTCTTATTATAATCTGATGTAATTGCTGGCTTACGAAACAGCATTTTTATTATAAATGAAATGGATGTCATGAAGACATTGACATGTGGGTACCAAAAATACAAATCGACTGTATTACTTCTTTGAAATTTATTTGAGTTGTAAAAGTGTAATGCTTTGGATATTGCAAATAATATATTTTGCAGGTTTTATCTACAATATTTTCTAACCACTGTGTTCTCTCACAGCTGATCGTGCTGATTGCGTCATATATTTCTATGGGGGAGAAGAAAGGGAGGCAATAAATTGAGCACAGTCTAGAAAAACACCTTGAGAATGTTGGCTCTCTTTTTTCTCCCTATTTCTCCCTCTCTCCAAACTGGACAATGGAGCAAACCTTGTACATTTGTATAAATGCGCAAATTATAGCAATCAATACTGAAATATGAGAAAATATGAAGATATTAAATACAAAAGCAAAACTCAGACAGCAAAAAATTAAACATTTGAAATGCTTGTTAGATGACAAAACTGGGTATTCCACCCACCATAAATGAATAAAAGCCTGGTTTGAAGTGATTTAAAGTTCTGGCTTAAACTCTTCTATGCAGATAACGCAACTACCTTGTTTAAACAGGTAACTGATAACACATAATGCATTCCATAGGCCACAGTCATGGCTAAACAAGGATACGATTAATGTTATCGGAAATACTTTTATCACGTTTAGAAAATTCATTCTAAAAAAGAAAATAGTTTAAAATTATGTGATGGCTTTATTTCTTCAACTTCAACTTATTTTAAACTACTGACATTTTGTTGGATATTTAAGAATCAGTGATTCAAGGAGAAAACAAAAGAACAAACAAAATGGCGGCCTTTATGAGGCTTGCCTTGGGTGTACTCCTGTGTACTCAGGATATTCTGATGACAGACATCATCGAACTGAAAATATCGACTAAAGCAAGAAGAGGAGATATGGTTACAAAGTGTGGCTGTTCTAACCAGGAATGCTTTATCAAACCATCCGCAAACTCAGAAAAGGCGTTCGAGATTTCAAAGTCAGGAAATATTATTTTGAGCAAAGATGCCAAATTTTTGACAGGATTAAGTTATCCCGTGTCAATTCTCACAAAAGACAATTGTTACGACAATATGCAAGAGGAACAAACCTATGTTTTCCATATTGTTGACTCCACATATTCAGTTTCTAATCCCTTACTCCACAGCTCAATTATGCTTGGATTCCCAACTTTTTTGGGAACTCTTTCAAGTTTTTCTCTTTCTCCAAGCAGTGAAGATCAATCCCAGTCATTTCAGTTGTTAGGACCACTGTCTGAACATTTCAAAATAGAAATTAGAAGGAATGAAGTGTATTTAGTCAAAGAACAAAGCTTTTTAAGCGAAGAGAGTTCTAAAACATTCCTGTTTGTTTTAGAAATGAAGGACGATAACCACAGCCATTATTATGACCTAGAAGTTTATATAGGAGATGAGTTAGAAGACTCAGACAATTTCCGGGTAGTACAGCTTCAACAAGAATCTCATGTTGTCGTCAAACGGCAAACCCCAACATCCATATCAAAGAGTTTCTCAGTGTATGAAAACACAACAGGCACCCTGTTCAATGTCTTAGATAGCCAGCCCCCCAACGGTGGCTCGTCTTTTGAAATAAAGGGGGCAACGCCACAAAACATATTCCAAATTGATACAGAAGGGAACGTTACATTGGGTGATGGGTTTTCTTTGGATTACGACAGGGGACATAAGTCTTTCAATATCAGCATCGAGGTCAAAGGAGCCCAAGGAGGTCAAGGTATAACAAAACTCAGTGAATTGATTGGTGCTTTTTGAAAATTCAAAATTCAAATTAAAAAAAAAGATCAAATGTGTTGTAAAAATAAATAAATATAAATGCATGCCTTGAAAATACAATGAAAATATAAAGATATATGATTCTAAAATAAACCTAGGTTTGAATTTTAGGTGTTTAAACACAACTGATAAGGTCCTCTTAGGTTCCGTTGCTTCTCGACCCTCGGTTCACAGGAAGCTAACATTATTAGCTTGTTTATGATAAGATGGTATTACAATTTATCAGCTCAACATAGTATCAACATTGTCAAACATAAATAAATCCATTCAAACTAGTCACATTGTCATTGACCGTGTACCCATCCCTCAAAATTTACCAGACTTAAAGCCGTAATTGTGCCTTACAAATATAGATTAATTACATTAGCAATTGTCTAAATCTATGATATATTATTTAAAAAAATTCAATGAATATAAAAATAATGAGGAAGCCGTGAAAAGTCCTTCAAATGTTGAATAAATTGCGTTTATTTTGACACTTAAAGTACATATTCATCTTTAAAAAAAAAAAAAAAAAGATTCCACTTAACAAAAAAACAAAGCATCTTTGATGTCTAATTACTCGAGGGACAAGATCTTATCAGAGCATTTAAATGGCATGTCTCGCTGTATACAAATGCTTGTGGCTTTATACTGGTTAGAGCGTCACAGTAACCGATACACTGAGAATTTAAAGGTGTCCATGTTTTATTTCTTGTTTCATTAATTTTGTAGTGAATTTGGCATTTGTTTACTTTGTCAACGGTTATGAACTTAACTTTTAAGAATCACTTTATTCACTTGTCATCAATAGAACTGGCATGTTGCTAGAAACTTGTTCATATATTTAGGACATTCTCCAAGGACAAATTTCATATACACTTTATACTTTACATTGTTATCCCTTTTAACACTTATACTTCACATAGGGAACTTGTAAAAGTCCTAATGCAATTATTTAGGGTGACAAGACAAAACTACCAAAGTTTATGCTTTGGGGTCATTAAAACTACAATTTGAAATTTTGAAAACAAGAAGTAGTGAATATAATCTTACAAACAACATAACAAATCCATGCTTTTGTATTAAAAACATTGTTTCTTTTTTTTGTCTTTCTAAGACTCTTTTATTAATTGTTTTGTAGTCAGTAACTATTTGGTTAACCTGGAGGTCTTGGACAGCAATGACGAGAGCCCCGCCTTACTCAACCAGCCCCGCCCTTTCCTGTCCACGGTCCGAAGTAGCACACCTATAGGGACCGTGGTCTATTCGCTCAATGCCTCAGACCAAGACACGGGGAGCGACCTACGCTTCTACATCAATGGTAATAAACATTATCATAAGACTAGCTAGTACTTTGTTATAATCTTGATTAAGTGTTTTCTGTGAATAACAAGATTGTGATGATGCAAAACTAGATTTATAATGTTAACTTAGATATAAGGTCTAAATAAGCAGCCCTCTCTTGGCAAGTGGTGGCGTCTCAATAAGTGAAAAATTCTCGAAGGGAGTAAAAACAAACAAACTTAAGGATGGATAAGCCCCTGAAACTTCAACAAGGACGCTGACGCTGGGATTAAAAACTAAGCTGATCTCGACTTCGTCTCATACATTTTGAGATAGATTAACAATGTGTTTCTGACTGTTTCAGGTTCTGTTGGTTTTGCTGTTGATGAGAATACAGGAAACATTACCACAACAAGGCTCTTCAATGGCCCCGACGACACAAACGGCACCGAATACGTCATCAATGCTTATGTGTCAGACATAGCTGCCCCGATCCTGCAGACGACAGTCGCCATGGTAACAATAAGGCTTGGTATGCGAAGACCTCAGTTTTTCTCCCAGTCTTATACAGCAAACATTAGAGATGATAATGAAATAAACCAAATGTAAGCATCAACTATCTGTAAGAATGCACAACTAGGTAAAAGTGAAATAACTTTAAATAAATAAGCGCACTTTTAGCAATGGACCTGGATATGATTAGAATTTGTACATTCTCATAATTTTACCTTAAAGCTTTCAAATTTTGGATGAAAATGGCGAATCTTCCCCAGTAAAGAGTTTGAATTTCCAAGCAGACCTGAATGGTAAAACGACCTATTCCGTGTATAGCGGTGTAACGACCATCTCCGATAAATTCGCCATCTCAGATGATGGACAGCTCAAAGTTCTGAAGAAGTTACTGTTAGGTGCCGACCCTCCAGTATACACCCTCTTCATTCAGGCACAGGACTCCGTGTCAGGGTTTTCAACAAAAGTCAATGTAACTACCTATTGGTGTCAAAAAAGAAATTCTACTGTACATACAAAGATACAACTGGTATCAAGTTAAACGAGTAAAACATCACTGATCATTTTCTTTTTTTAAAAAATCCTTGAAACCAAAAATAAATTAAATTTTCTATAGTGTCTCACTGGTTTTCTAAATACACAAACTTTTCACCTGCCAGTATCTCTTTTAGTACAGTACCCTTTTATGTCCTTTTTCTAGCTGACGGTTAATTTACTGAAGAATTATAAACCAATGCTGACATTGCCGGTGTATACTGCCACAGTTCCAGAAAATTTGAAAATCAACGACACCATTCTCACAGGTGATTACACGTCAAGCTCTTTAATGTTTATTACAAGAAGTCAAATTTGATGTCAGCTTTTGCAAAAACTTCTAGCTCTAAAAATGTTACAATTGATGATAAAAGAGCGTTACAAATTGTTCTTATAGTGGAGACTATTGCTACTGAAAACGCACAACAATTTAACTACAGCGTGGACTCACCAGTGTTTTGGGTACAAAACCTGAATGGCAAAGGCATCATCAGAGTGAATAGGTTCGTTTATATAGTTATTACAGTTGATTTGGCGTCTTATAGAAATGACGCTGCTTTGGTTACTTAAATCACTACCATGACAATAAATGACTGGTATATTGCAGACTTCTCGATTATGAGGCAGTTGGTGACGCTTTCTATCAGGATCACTCCTACACCTTCCACGTTACTGTAGATGGGTACAACATGACGTCATTAGTTATTGTGTACCTACAGAACGTTAATGATGAGGTGCCCGTTTTCACCAGTAGCACAGAAAGCACAATACAAGACACAATCGACTACGGACGTATCGTGATGAATGTCAAGGCCATCGACAAGGACGGGGATGGAGTCACCTACCGTTTTCTAGGTTACAAGCTCGGATGATTTTTCAAGATTGCTAAAATTTTCAATTAAGAAATATCTTTTTTTCATTAATTAATTTTCTTTGTACTTCACAGAGTCCAGTTCAGTATTTGCCATTGACCGGAATTCTGGACAAATCACCATAACAAGACCTGGAAGTCAAATTCCTGATGACGTAGACTCCTATAAGCTAACTGTAATTGCTAAGGATGATGGTAGTTGTTGCACAGGCGGCACAGACACAATTCACTCGGAAACGCAAGAAATCACCATAAACATTGTAGACAGTAAAAACTACAGGCCCCAATTTGTAGAATGTAGTTCATATTACAATGCATCCATATTAGAGGAAGAACCAGTGGGCACATACGTCCTAACGGTATGTACATGAGAATGCTTGGCTATAATACAATCAAATCAATCGTGCAACATGTATACATTATATATTTCTACAAGTATTTGTCTATTTAAAAGGTATCTGCAACTGACATAAACAAAGGAGAAAACGGTGTCGTGGACTACACTATTCTTAGCTTTAGGAACGACTTAACTCAAGATTTTACCATTCAGACAGTCAATAAAACAGGTATACGCAGTATGCAGCATTAGACAATGACAAGTATTTGTCCATAAGTTTGATGCTCAATTAAATGTGATGTCAGCTAATTTATTCCTTTTGTTTTTGTTGAAGGGGTGGTTCGAAGTAACGTAAAGTTTGACCGTGAGACTTTGAATGACATTTTAAAGGTGACAGTCATTGCCACTGATCACGGGCAACCTCCTCTCAGCAGCGAGTGTTCCTTCATAGTTAACGTGGTAGACATAAATGACAATTCTCCTGTGTTTCTCTCAGGAGAAAACGTAGACGGCTGCAGCAATAAACGTGATGAAGGCGTCGTATCACGTGACTCCTCAAGAGGCAGTGAGGCGATGAATATAAGAGCGTTCGATGTGGATTCCGGAGAAAATGCTCAGATAGATTACTCTATTCTGGACAGTCCTGGACACTACTTCGATATTACATCTAATACAGGGATGATCTTTGTAAACCAAAGTCTATCTGACGCAGTGAGTCAATACAAATAGTTTTTATGGACCCTTTAATAATAATTTGTAATTGAAAGGAAAAATATGTATAGAATTTTTCCATTGAATTTTATATGAAAAGTAAACAAAAGAACATTTGTCTTAATGATAATCATAATGAATTTTGTTTTAGCCTGAGAGAGTTACATTACACGTGCTGGCATCAGATAAGGGAGACCCACCAAACAATTCTACAGCGTATGTAGATATAGTTATAAGAAACTCAACGGTGACGAAGCTCTGGCCTTCGGACAAAAACAATCCAAATTCATTTATCAACGACAATACTAGAACAGACGCTCTGATTACCTCTGTTTCATTTACGAATCAACTAACGGGTGTAAAACTTATTGTGAAATGCCAGTCTTCCGATCAAGCCAACAAATTCAAAGTTGAATTATCGTCCAATAACAGGGATATCTTCCTGTATGCTGCAGGTGATTTTGATAACGAAAAGGATACCAAAGTAGCACAGATAAGAGTATATACGGTAAGACCAATTCAAAGGATACTATAGTGCAGATTAAAGTTCATGTATACAAGATAAGATTGATGAAAAGAAAAGCAAAGAATAAGCAGATTTGTCAAACTAATTGCCAGAAGAAGAATATCAAATCACAGATGGGACCTAATCAAAGGAAATGATGCTTAACTTAAATAACCAGGGAAGAAATCCTAATAATTCTATAGTTTATACAAATTATATGTGTATACAGCCTATACAAAGCTTTTTTGTTTGCAGGAAGTTTGCGGCATACTTGCAGCAAACATTTTACCGTGCCATCAACGTTTGCAGCAAGCCTGCAGCAAACATATGGAAACCTTGCTGCAAGCTTGTGGCAAACATTACTGCTAACTTGCGGCAAGCAATATAGTTATTGTTGAAGCCGCATTTCTGCGTACAGGCATCAAGTAAAATTCGCTGAAAGCCTTTGTTCTGACCTCAATCATTAATTATAGAGAAAATCCACCACACGTGTCTGAAATGGAACAAGTTTCTATAATGTTGATAGTCTCTCTTTATCTTCTTAGACAATTTTTGAACATGTCTACTCTGAATTTTCTGGATTATAGTATTAATATTTTTCATTTATACACAACAAGATTGCCACTTTTCCTAAGTATTAAGAATAAAATTAAAATTTGTGAAAGTGCAAGGATGTGTCAATCAAACCCGCCAAAAATTTTAATAACTTTTAAATGAAATAAGATTTTTAATTATTTTTTGTGTGAAATGCTATTAAAATATATAAGTCGTAATATTATAGAGATAATATTAACTTCAAATCTGTGTCCAAGTACCTTTAACTTCATAATTAAAATTTTACAGTAAATACCATTTTATTTGAAAACATACATGCATTTATAATAACGGATTTAAAACCTTCAATACATTAAAGGAACGTGATTTAAAATTAAGATTTTGGAATTCATATACACATGTAAATATAAATATATTTAGATTTGACCAAGCAAGTACATCAGTTAATTAAACAGGATTTAAAGAGATAATTGTTTCATATTAAAATATAACAAAATCAGATCTTACCAATTAGATATTGGGTATGCCTGTGTTCGCATGTATCAAGAATCATGCTTTTGTAATAATTCAAAATTTCATTTATTCCTACATTTCAAAATAGCGAATTTTTTGTTGAGCCAAGTACTGTCTTCATTTCATTGGCTGATTTGACTTGTTTACCGTTCTTGCGAACTTTCTGCAAACATTCAATATGTTAAATGTTTCTTGCAATCTTGCTTCAAATAACATATTTGCGAGTGTGTTTCTTGCAATATTTCTGTATGTTCAATTCCTGTGAATCTGCTGCAAGCTTGCCTCAGTTGCTGTAATGTTTGTCACACGGTCGAAGTTAGCGGCAATCATTTGAGAACGAACAAGAAAATTTTGTCCTCGAGAAGAAGTCGATTTTGAACCCAGAAACTTGCTGCACATCTCCAGGACACCCCTAAACATGTTATGAAATTTTTTGAGCTATTGTAAAAAGAATGTTAGAGGAAATAAGGGAAGATGAATTTTGCTTTCTATAACGACTACTTTTTTCTCCGTTTGGCCAACACGGTGTGGATTCTGAAACCTTAATGCACTTCTGTAACTCCTAATCCTATTCCAAAAGATGATTCGCCTACTGCAAAACGTGTCAGGATTCAGGGAACCAGAGGCCTGTCAACAGAGCGAACATTCGCGAGAGCTCGCCAAAATTCCATATACCTTCAATAAAAATGTTCGCGAGCGCTCGCTCTGTTGAAGAAGCCTCAGGTTTTTATAGACAAACGTAAATTTTGGATCCCCAAACGCTGCCCGGGGTGATTTAAATCAAAATTTCAAAACATTATTGCACATCCATATGACCATTTAGATATATACAAATTACAAATCAGTTACTGCAAAAAAAAAAAAAAAAAGTGGAGTTTGGGGAATAACATTTTGTAGAAAAACCGTTTTACCTCATTTGGCTCCTTCGGTAAAATTCAAAATGTCAAGATATGAAAATTTTCTTGCACATGTTCAAAGCTCTACCAATGGTTAAGTTGGCTACTACTTAAAATGTAAGGGTAGTTTTAGTAAGGCGATTAATACGTATAGCAGACAGACGGACAAGGATAACAATATAAACTTTCTGTAGAAAGTGCGGGTGGAGACATGGCTTTTCACAATACGAGTGATAGGAGAATCGATTGTTTTAGGCATTTCTTGGTTGGTTTTTCTCTTCATAAATATTTTCGTGAACACTTTATCAGGAGATACCATATTTTGTCTTTCTAGGGACAGGGAGATACCCAGTATTATGAAGATTCGTATTTCTTATTCTCCATCAACGACACAAACAACAAAAAACCACAGTTTGTCAACAGAGAGAACCCGCTAATCGGCAAAATCGAGTTTTCTGTTCAGGAAGAACAACCGATAGGAGAGGAGGTCGGGATACTGCTGGCCCACGACGAAGATAGGACACCACCCTTCAACAAGGTCTCCAATACCACATGTTTAAACAAAAACCGCCATGATAAATGATGACGGCGTATTACTCCATTGATTTAAACAATTCAAAACGGTAGTAATATTTTAAATGTTTACCTTTTTCAGGTGACATATAACACAAAATTCAACGACAGCAGTTTTAAGGTGGATGACGTCAACGGTGTGATTACTACCTTAATCAGGTTTGATCGGGAAGAGCTGACGTCATCGACTCCAGATTTACTGGTGGTGGCCATGGACGGGTACCCCTCTTCCATACCTGGGCGAACTGGTCCCAATACAGGTAAAAACAATTCTAATCCTACCTAAAAATATTTTAATGAGTAAATGTTACATTACAAATGTTCTGTCAAGAAGGTTATTTTTATCCTTTTTTAGCTAGAAAAATTGAATAAAAATGCGATGTGAAATTTTGATACAAAAAGGGATAGGATATTTTGTTGTTTACCATGGTCTCCAATAATAGAACGTTCACTAAAATTTACTATAATAAAGAATTCCTTTTTGGAAATTATGTTTTTATGATGTACATACGCAACGTATTTACGATTTATTATAGATATATTTTTGTTTTCTACACAGGGTCGGCAGTGGTACAAATCACTATCGAGGACATTAATGATAATCCACCTTACTTTGCCAACAACTCCTATTTCTTCACGGTTCCTGAAAACGCTCCCATATCACACTCCGTGGGAAGCATCAAAGCCCTGGATAAAGACGGTAAAAACTTTTAAATAAATTTTAGTTGTACTGAACATTATTCATAAATCAAGGAACACCCTCCGAAAAATCTGATCATATAAATAGTTTTACAAAAATTTACATTTATCATCAGAAATTTTCACATAATGCCTCATTATTTTTTTTATTTCAATACTGCATGGTAAAAAAGTAAACTTTTGGACATGATCGACGTCATTTGATTTTTGTTTTAATGTTGGTATCCTTTCAGATGAGAAAACATCGAGGTACACAAAGTATTCTTTGGGAGACTCCAGGTATTTCGGGGTGGATGAGAATACAGGAAAAATCTTTGTGGCGGGAATACTATTTGGACAAGCGAATACGGTAACGTAGTATTGTACCCTCTATTTCAATATAATTAAACAATAAATAAAAGAAGAAAACACTTTTTTGGCCTTCAACTCGACATTTAGATATATCGACGACGTATTGTCAATTAACAATGGTAATTTCCATTCTTATGTCAATGCTATATATCCTGGTGAGCTAGAAATAACAGAAACAACTGAGTCTGACACATCTGTTTCATATTTGGATATTTTACTTGAAAAAGACATAAATAGAAATCTAACAATCAAGGTCTATGATAAACGTGATGACTTTAAATTTACAATCGTCAACTTCCCTTACTTATGCAGCAATATACCTTCATCACCTGCATACGGAGTTTATATATCTCAGTTTATTTGATACGCCAGAGCATGCTCTACGTATGAACAATTTTTAAACCGAGGTAAATTATTTTTAATACTTATTGTTAGTCCATTATTTATACACTGAATTGACGACAGATTTTCCCGTTATTTCCCGATATGACAAGGAGCACATGGCGGGTGTGACCGGTCGACAGGGGATGTTCACTCCTCCATGGCATCTGATCCCACCTCTGATGTTTTGGAGGTCCGTACTTGCTCTGCTCCTATTTTGCATTGTTTTATGGACTTTCGATCTTGAATACTGTTCGTTATCTCAATATGTTTCATATGTGTAATACAAATACTGTACAATCTATTTCCCGGTAGTTTTATTTCTTGGCACCTATTCACATGACTGGTGTTTAAGGGCAGGACCCCATCCATCCAATTACTAGTACATGTATATACATTCCCATCCATCCAATTACTTGTATGTACATTCGTTGTCTTTTTAGTCTTCTATTTAATTCTTTGTCTTCAATCTGAACATAAAACATTTCTCAAAATATATGTTGCATTTTCTCCTTCTGGAATCTTTGAACTTAGCAAAAATAGACAATGGTATTTTGGTGGCATCTTAAATAGCTTGTTGGGGACCAAAATTGGTAGATTTGGTGGGCTATCCTCATCTATAAGAATCCATGTCCTATGCCAACTATCTTCCTATACACGATTTAACTTCTGGGTAAAAGTTGATTGTCCGCGAATTTCACACCCACTTATTAAACTTCAAAAGGTATAATAATCCCGCAGTGCAGTATACACTTGTGACTAGTGCACTAGTGCGGTAATTTTGTAAAAAAAAAAAATAAAATAAAATAGAAAATTATGAAATGGCGCTCTTAAAATATTTTCATGGAAGTTATTTATTTAAAAAGATTATACATGAGAAAAAGAAAACACTTGCTGTGGCCTTAAACTCTACATTGAGATATATCGACGACATATAAGTAATTACTAATTACCAATAGGTACTTTGATTCGTATGTCAATACAATGTATCCCAGTAAACTTGAAATGATAGATACCACAGATTCGTACATATTTGTTTCATATCTGGATATTAAACTAGAAAAATATGTAAATGGTAGCCTTACAACAAACTTTATGATACACGTGATGACTTAAACTTTTTATTGTCAACTACCCCTTATATTATAATATACCTTTATCACCTGTAAAGAGAGTCTGTGTCTCGTAGTAGACTGGATACACAAGAGTGTGCTCTAAGTATGAATAAATTCCAAACTGAGATGAGTTATTGACAAACATGTTCATAGTAAAAGGATATCAGTACTCTCCTTTAAAGTCGAGATTTCGCAAGTTCTGTGGTACGTACGTCGATATAATGACATGGTACATGTATAATGATTTAATGACAATGACACAATTTGTCATTTAGTTAACTGACGTTTTTCGTACTTTTCACACTGTAATGTTGTACGAATTTTTCCGATTATGACAAGAATACCTGGTATATCGGGTGTCACCGGTCGAAGAGGATGCTTACTCCTCCTTTACACCTGATCCCACCTCTGATGTTATATTAGAGGTCCGTGATGCTCTATTCACGGACTGTATTGCTATAATGGACTTTTGAGCTTGACTATATACTGTTCGTTATCTCTATGTTTCATTCTTTAAAAACTTGCTTGATCATTTTCAGAATATTTCAATGAGATTCACCGCAGATGACGGGAAATTCTCTGCGTCCGTCGATGTGTATATTGGCGTATTGAAAACATACAACAGACGACCAGAATTCAATGGAAACTATAACATCAAAAGCATAGTGGCCAACAGAAACTATAACGAGTCCTTATTTCAAGTAATTATTTGGATTTTATTTCTTTGTCAGTAAATACAGGTAACTTTTTAACAGACAAACAAAATTTCTGTAGAGGAAAATCAGTGAACATTTAAATGCAACTTTCATTGATAATTTTCTAAATATATACTGAGGAGGATATATTAAATGATTTACCTTTGATGCTAATTTAAAAGGTTAAAGCAAATGACCCAGACTGTGGAAATCCCTGTACTCTGAGATATGAAATCATGGCGTCCGATCCCGTCATTCTTCGAATCTTTAAAATTGATCACGTGACAGGAGAAGTGTCTCTTTTGGCGCCACTAGAACCAAGACCATACGTCTTCAGTGTAAAAGTAACAGACAGTTCATCAAGCAGGAGAAAGAAGCGTTCTCTAGCTGCCAAAGACGCCTACACAACAGTTACAATCAACCCAGCTGTGTAAGCATTTTACTTCTAAAGTATTCATTTATTACTCTTTAGAGCAATGATCAGATAATGGGTTATATAATTCTTGGTCTCATTAATTTCCGCTATTTTGATCATTTAAATACAGTTGCAATGTACACCAAGAAGCTGATCAGAATGGTAGGTGCCAATGCATTGACTACTGTAAAAACAGCGCCCCCTGTTATAACGGGGGCACCTGTCAACTGAACTGCAGCTTGGGGTCGGAGCACGGATACTACTGCCAGTGCCCCCCTGGGTTCAGTAACTGGGACTGTAGCGGGGTCGTGACGGTGACCTCTGCCACTATAACAGAAGACAAGGACGACAATACCTGGCTGATTGTACTTCTAGTTTGTCTTGCTGTTCGTAAGTATAATTTTATCTTTTAAGTTTTTGATGAGCATTATATTCAAAAATGAAGAACTGTAATCTTTCACATTTTAGTTTATGTGTACTGATATGTAGTACATGTATGTATGTATTCTATATAATTCATATGGAACCTTAGGTTATTTTCTCAGTTAACACAAAGTCTCCCGTTTCAGTGTTAGTCGTGGTTATACTTGTGGTGGCGTTCCTGGTCAGAAGGAAGAAGAACCAGGACCGGGATAAGAGTATGCTGGCCTATGATAACGAGGATTTTGACATCCGAGAAGACGTGGTGGATTATGATGAGGATGGGGCGGGTAAGGGGAACTTCATTTATGTTTCTTATAGATTCTAAATGTCTATTCAGTATCTGTCACTACTATAAGGTTCCTTTACGTATCGGTTAATGTTCTATGGCAAAGAATCATTAATTCTAAGAATAAAGTATTATACACTTACTGTAACTATTTAACAAGTCGTGCTTCAAACCCATATAGCATCAATATTTTTATATAGAAAAATTGTTCTTTAATGCTCTTGCACATAATATGTATGCACTTTTTTCATAGCACATTTTTCAATATACATCTGTCATTCAATAAAAAGAACTGTTGTTTATTACACCCGTCTTTTGTTACACCTGTGCCTGTATTCCAGGTGAAGATGACTATGCTGGATACGACATTACCATGATCAGGAAAGCTGTAACAGTGAGGGAGGAAAATATACCAAAACCAAAGACAATGGCCGACAGACCCCTCACCTGTAGGTTTCCTCAAGTTAAATACGTAGCTTTTGTTATTGCGATCATATACACTATTACTCAGTCATTAAATCTAAATACATGTATATCTATATATTGTTATAGCAGCAGCACCCAGGAATGGTCACTTACGGGAATTCATCGGTGATCGTCTGGAGGATGCTGAGGGTGACAGCGGTGCCCCGCCCTACGATACGCTACACGAGTTTATGTACGAGGGGGAGGGAAGCCTGGCGGGGTCCCTCAGCTCCATCAACACATCCTCCAGTGGAGGGGACCAGGACTACGAATATCTACACGAATGGGGGCCAAAGTTTGCCAAGCTTGCTGATATGTACAACACATATGAAGACTCTGACTGACACCAATCAAAGAAATATACCTGCATTTATCTCCAGTCATCAATCATTGAGTCATTTGTTACCACTAATTCATGTGTATATTTTCATATTTAATTTTTTTTACGTAATCATTATGATAGAAGAAACTTCCATATTGATTTTAGGATAACAGTGCTGAATTTTGTGCCATAATGATATATTTTGTGTGTGACCTACTTTCTGCATGACCGTAATGAAGTGTAAATAAGGTGCTGACGAGAATAATTTATAGATTTTTTTCAATAAAAATTGATCTCACAATGTTGTTTCGTTTTTTTTTAGGCAAGATGTTTTAGCATGTAATACTGTTATTCATACCTGTGATTTATATTATTAACCATTGTCCTTTTGGTGACTGAATAAATTTTTTAAAAATTGTTCTTAAAGTTATCACTGTGGTAATGTCTTAGATCAATTTTCTGTAAGTATGAAACATTTAAACAAATTCGTTTTTGTTCATTTATTTTATAACCTATAATTGTTTTGACAGAACTTTTTTTTCAATGGGTACAATAATCCACTGGTTTCAAAACAAAGTGAGAGATATCACAGATGTACACGAAATATCTGATGTCATGGGAACTAAACAAAGTAGTGTAAAAACAGTTAATAAATACATACATTAAATAACACAGAGAATTTCATACAACCTTCGCTCTATATACACACAACTATAATTTACTGTGGAGAATGTGATTTCAATACAAAATAATAAATCATGACAACGTACTATTTTAACTAAATTAATGGACATCACAAGCACTATAGTGGTCAATAATATAACATACACGCTGCCAATCCTACAGGAACTAATTCCAAATGCACACAGATTAAAATGACTTCAATTTTGATAATGGCTAATTAAACTGGAAAAGCTATTCTTTTTAGGTTTAATGTGTAATAGGTAGATACCAGAATTAAAATTTGTTCAAACTGTAAAATTTCATCCAAGTTCATTTATGTTTTATGACAGTCACTACTTGTAAGTTTAGTCTAAGTTTATCATCAATATAATAAGCTAGACAGAATTCGATGTATCTAACCTATATTTTGGCATCAATCTAACCATTTCTAAAAGTTATTAAGTTAACTAGTGTATTTTTTTAATATTAAAAATTTAAACCATATGAAATACTGAAATACTTATAGTGATAAATTGTGATACAATCTGATTTGTAAAAATCCCCTCTATTATGAGAATCTGATACTTTGACAACCCAGTATATCTGTCCATGTTTGAAATATTCACAACCTTCAAAAAAAAAAAAAAAATAAAATAACAAATGCAATTCAGTCATGAAGCTGATTATGAATGTGAGTATAACAAAAACAAACTTAAAAAAATATGCTGAATTCTTCCTTCATTCTAGTTTCATAAAGAATGTTTAAAAACCATTTTACGATTATCTGCAAAGAAGACCAAAAGACACAAGAAAAACAAAAGGGCTGTCAGCAGATTTGGAAAAAATTATGTCACCTCATAACAATACAAATATAACATTGCAAATACATGTACAATATTATTCAAAATGCCGCTCAGTTAAAGCTAAACTGAAGTAAATTCTGCAGTGATATTCTTCCACAGTGGCAAACATCTAAATGTACCTTGCATCTTGATGTGCTGCAATTGCTTGTGGGTATTTTTTTTCTATCAAATATTGTATTTCTGGATGTGAAATTTCAACAATTACATAATGCATTTTGAAATTAAAAAAAATCATTTCAAAACAGACAATGGCCATCACGAGTCTATAGAACAATGTAATATCTATACAAGCAGGTATATTGAATGAACATGACGTAAATAACAAAATTGGTGTCTAAATGGTCTTACAAAGTAAAAAAATGTTTTCATGAACAATAAAAATGTCCTGTACACGTATGTCTCAATCTTGTAAACAATCCACACAGATACATTTCTCACAAAGACCTTCACTGATCTCTGTGTTAATATCCTTTTCAAAAAAAACTCTGTGCTTAAATGAATAATTTCTTACAAAAAATACACTAGTATTAAGGACAGACGAGACGTTCCTTAATAATAGATAATTTTTTCTAGGAGTTTGTCATTGAAGTATTGCTACTTAAACATGTTTACTCACAAAAAATTGAGGTACCTTACCAGGCATTTCTGCAAAATACCAGGGGTAGTTTTTCTTATATAATCCTTTGGGGAAGAAAAATAATTTTTCAATTTCAAATGTTTAAGTATTTGGATGTTTTAAAAACGTTTAGAAACTGGTTTAGAAATCAGAATGTTATTAAAATTTTGAATATTTTTCATACATCACGAAGATGTACAAAACAGATTTTGAGGAACGTCTCGTCTGACCTTAACATTTTGGTATGTTTGTCAGTATAATACAGTGATGTATGTATGTGCATATGAAATAGTATGAATACTAGTAATGCAGTAAAATGCCCTTATAGTGAACACCTTATAATCAATTTATAATACTCTTATAGCAGTGATTTTCCTTGCCCATGGTTTTAAAATGTATTGTGAATTTAATGCATATAATGATCGAATAGTGTGTAGCAAAATTGTTCATCTCTTTTACTTCACTATAAGTATACTTAATTGTAATATATTGTGATCAAATAATAATAATATTCAAATAAAAATGTAAAAACTGACATGATAACAAAGAAATTCCAAACTTATTCTCAAAAATTAAATATACACCCATTTTAAAGTTAGAAAATAAATACAATATTGCAGTTTAAAGTGAACACATTTTTTTCTATATAATTTTACACAATCTACATATTGTACACATTTTAACCTTCCATACCGATCATCCTGTCTACTGTCCTGAAGGATTTCTCCATTCTGGGTGGTGTGAGATGTTTACTATGTATTAAACACGGGAAGGTTATATAAATTATACCCACCAACTCCATTTATTGCTAGAATAATGTACACGACATGGTAAACTGGAAAGATAGAGAAGTGTCTCATTATACATTTATACAGACTATTATGAGATTTGTTGCATTTGTACCGTCTTTACAGAGTAGTTCCAAGGTGACGTTCAATACTGTTAATCAACTTTTATTCGCATGCGAGAAATATCGCAACCTACTCTAACTCATGATTATAAATTGTCGTGAAGCACTTTCTTTGCTTTGTGTTTTTTTAGAGAAAATTTTCTTCATCACAAAAATTAATTGTTGAGGATTGATATCAAACTCATGAATCACAAAAAGATGATGAAAATAATACTAAGTACTTGGTTTACAGTATGTCAATGAAATACAAGGTTTTTATGCACAATAAGTTGATATATACATCTATCGACAAATTGATGTTAAATATCATTACAAAAAGAGTAATTAGCTCCTTTGAAATGTTTTTATTTCCTATTGTTTATAATTGTACATTATTTAATTGATACATGCATTTTGAAATTCTGCTCAATTTAGTTAAAGCACATAACAGTACATAAAGGGTAATATGTATTACAATTCTAAAAGAAAATAATTTAAAAATAGAAAACTTATAACAATATTTAAGAGGACTTGATGATCATTAATTTGAGTACTAATAACCTACCTCCTGGAATAAGACACAACACTCCTCCAATAAAGAATACTAAGCAGTGAAGACCTATGTACAATGATATGAACACTTAATAGAAGATTACAAAATTTATAGATTTATATATTTTATTATTAATGAAGTTTTATTTTATTGACAGATTTTAAAAAACCCTCAAATTAATGCTGCTGTGATAACACTAACTGTACAACAATGCAAGATGAAATGTGAAACGAAAAGTAAAAAGTTAAAATTCCAAATGGAATAAAGCAGGATTTTATCTAAAAACGATCATCGAGATTCAAATCATGAATACAATCAATGTTTTATAAGGAATTTATGGCAATTCAAGCATAAATAAAACAGTTACTGCTCTCTTTTTAAACTAACAATCTTCTTAAATTTACAAAAAATTAAAAAAACAATTTTGATTACTTTAATTAAACACTGAAGGGGTGTTGTTTGATATCCTTTTTAACACATTATTATACACAGCAGTATAACATGAAGAAGTCTCACCTCTATCATTAGAAGCCACTATACCAACACCAACCAAAAACAGGGCTGAAAATAGGACGGATAAAATTAATCCTGGGAACTCCAAAGAACAACAGAGAGCTCAAGAGTCTGGTGAGGTTTCATTTAAAGATAAATTATGAGTAATGTATAATGGAGTGAACCATACAAAATCAATTGAATTATAACATGTTTCAGTATCAACATCTTCATCTCTTACAGTTACTTTTCTTTCCTTTTATTCTGAGTTATATTTAGCAAAAGGGGGTGGGTAGTAAAGATGGAAGGGAAAATGTCAGACAATATGAGTTGTCCTAACCTGAACAGATATGGAAAGCTGCAGTTACAGGATTAGGCATATACTATACTGAGGATTGACTGAACTGAATCAAATATGAATAAATTACCTGCTCCCACAACAGTCAGGGATACCGCCCCACATACTGTCTTGTAGTTCTCTTTGATCTTAGGATGTCTCCACCAGCTATATTAAAAACAAAAATAAACATTCAGTTCTTTTTCTACTCAGAATTTAATAATACAAGTATTGTAATGAATTATTATGTTTAAAGTTTATGTTAACATAAAAAACTTTGATCATTATTATTTTGAGGTGGCACATTTACTCCAAATTAGGATCTCACTGTAAACTGTTTGAAGTTTGAAAAAACAATGAAAAAAAAAACCAAAACCCAAAGATCTTTATTTGGGGACCTTAATAGTTGGTTAAACTTACAGACAATACAATATACCGGTAATTTGTTTTCCTCAAGTACAATAAATTGTTACGTATTGAACCTATATTATGTTGCATTACAAGATCCTTAATTCATTTTTTTAGCTTGTATCCGGTAAATGTTTAATGGACACAATGCCCACCTCAAGTACTCAGTAATCTTTATTAAAACTTATTTGTGAACTGAAAATTCAGAATGAGAATTAAAACTGAAATAATGGTTTGAGGCACAAAAAGTTTCCTACTGCATCCAGAAATCCAGACGTATCTATATACAGTAAAACACACTTAAATGAGAAAAAGTGTCAGGGATGAATGATTTTGCTTCATCATAAGCATAATTCATTATATCCGTTAGCTGCACAGTATGTAGAATGAAAATTTCTTCGCTATAAGCGTCAATTCATTACAAGTTTCTTGCTATGAGCGTGTTTAACTGTTTGTATTTGGAGTTGTGTTCTCCAGCAGTGCTCATCGGTTTGGGCTACAACTGATATGCAACAATTTCGCATTGATCTTTATATAAATTTTATTACAGTTTTACTTTGACTTTAGTGCTGATTTTCAATTAAATTAATAGGATTCCTGCTTTAAATCGTCTTTCACCTCCACATAGTGAGAATGGGGCAAAAGTAGGACATAAGAAATGAATGTTGCATCAATTTGTCCGGCAAAAGAGCCTGCAGTTTGTACCACATCCAGTTATCATGAAACAGTTATTTCTCAACATTATTTCTTTACAATACCAATACAATTACCAGGTATATATTTTAGCGAATATCTGAAATGCTAACATTAATTAACATTTCAAAAATTGATTTTACTACATCTCTATTACATAGCTCTCTGATACTTATTTTGATAGACTTGTCCCACTTTTGCCCCAGCAGGAAACTTTTTGTGCCTCAAACTATCATTTCAATTTTAATTCTCAGTTTGAATTTTCAGTTCACAAAATAAGTTTTAATAATGATTACTGAGTACTTAGACGTGAGCATTGTGGCCATTGAACATTTACCAATACACACCAAAAAACAAAGGATACTGCAATGCAACATAATATAGATTACAAAACTATATATTCTACATAAAGAAAACAAATTATTGGTACATTGTATTGTCTATAAGCATAACAAACTATCAAGGTCTCAAATTAAAGATCTTGGGGGGAAACTTTTTCATTTTTTTTTTATCAAACTTCAAACAGTTTACTGATGCAGTGAGGTACTGGTATGTAATTTGGATTAAATGTGCCACCTCAAAATAATACTGATAGTTTTTGTTGTTGATATAAACTTAATGTTACAAAAATAATTAATTACAAAACTTAATTGTATTATCAAATATGATTTTTTCCAAATTGTTTGTTTTTATCCCCTTGCCAAAGCATTGAGGATAATTAAAAGAAAATACAACTCAGGTAAAATATCCTTTATATACTCATTTTATGCTATAGGAGAATATTTCTGATCAAGCTTGTTATCTGGCTGTCATTGTTCTGTTGTTGTTATCTACTTTTCACATGCACTTTGGATGGTCTGTTCTCCAGTGCAGTTTTGTTTTGGTATTGTAAAGAAATAATGTTGAGAAATAACTGTTTCATGATAACTGGATGTGGTATGTACTGCAGGCTCTTTTGCTGGGCAAATTGATGCAGTCTGGTGAGATGTGATGTAACAGCTAGCAATCATAAAATAAACATTATTACATTATCTACAAATAAAAACTTCACAGATCATTATTACCGGTAATTTAATGGCCCTGCAAAAGAGCAGTACTGCACTTCTCTAGGTCTAATATCAATTGCACTGGAGAACAGACCATCCAAAGACTGATAACAAACACTTGATCAGAAAGTTTTCAGCATCTGCGATGATTAATTACTGAAAAAACTACGACAAAAATTGTTATGTATGAAATGGACAGATGCATGGATAAACAGGAAGTTGACATCAAATTTAATAAAAATTAATCCACCATATCCCATGCTTTAGAGAAGATTGTGTCAAAATTTCAAGCATCTGCGATGAGCAGTTGCTGAGAATTAAAACTGCGACGAAAATTTGTTATGTATAAAACTGACAGACGCACGGATAAACAGGAAGCTGAAATCAGATTTGAACAAAAAAAATCCAACCATATCTAATGCCTTAGAGATGATTGTGTTAAAATTTCAAGCATCTGCAAAGAGCAGTTGCTGAGAAAACTGTGACGAAAATTTGTTATGTGTGAAACAGACAGATGCACAGATAAACAGGAAGTTGACATCAGATTTGAACAAAAATGAATCCCACCATATGTTACAGAAGATTGTTTTAAAATTTCAATTTCAGTTGGTTGCTGAGAAAACTGGGATGAAAATTTGTGATGGACAAACACACAGCTAGATAGACAGATGGACAGACACACAAGTATAAAATAGTATACCCTCCGCTCCTTCGGAGTGGAGGTATATAATAATGATTTTGTATAAATAGACGTAAATGTTGTACATGTATATAAAATCCAGTAGACATATTGTTTATAATATTAAAATATGAGAAACAAGGTGTTAATCAGAACAAATCCAATCTAACCAAGATATCAAAATGTGTTAATTTTCTTCAAAGGTTATGGAAATATTCTGATGCACCTAAGATCCTTAAGAAGCTATATATACGTATACTTCTCTCTACAATTCTATATGTACGAGGGTTGTCCGTAAAATCTGTGGACAAGCTAAGAATTAAATAAAAGTTGCGTCATTGATATTTATTATTAGCATATTTCTAATCCTTTACTAAATGTGAATTGAAAAATGTAAAATCTTATTCAATTTCTAATATTTATTTTGAATTATGGCTTCATAATTAGACTTGGAATGGAGACCCGAAGCACCGCAAAATTTTAATTAAAAAATTATGTATCACTTTATAAATTTCATTTGTATTTTATAAAATTCTGCGGAATTCTGGATGACTTTTACATTGAGGTTGACAGAAGCTATCATGCAAAATATGCAAAATTTGAACGTTTAAAGTTGTAAAATGGCTGAGCAATCAAAGTAAGAACTTATTAAGACGGATCAGAATTGCTCCAAAAAGGGACGTTTTCGGAATAGGTGGAGCAGTAAGCAGTGATAAAATTCTGCGTAGACATCGGATAAACACCTACAGAGACCAATACATTTTGTAAACAATCGGGAAAACATAGTAAAAGAAGCCGTACATTAGTATATAAGTGGCATATAATATTTTCGGACGGAAGGAACAGTTTATAGGATTACATGCGTGAAGAAAAACCATCATTCCGAGATTGCAGTGCTGTAAAAAGGACTTTCATAACGTGACTTTACCGTATTTCGGCAAATAAAATCGTTTTACGTGGACAGTGGACAAAGGTTGGATGATTACAGGCTCTGAGACAGGCATTGTTAAATATTATTTTACGTGTGAAACCTGAACATTTTGTGCACATTTTTATGAATGGTTAAAGCGACATGAGAAATGTATTGAGTTAAACAGTGACTATGTTGAGAAAAGTTACATGTACTCCTAATGCTTTTGACGTCGGGTAACGTCAAGAATTTTCATTTTAATGCTCCGGGTATGAGTGCATGTCTTTTTTTTTAATCTTATAAAAATATAACTATTTGTGCTTTGTTTTTGTTGAAAACTTGCATGTTAATAAAATAAAACATGAATTTAATGAAAATAATAGTTTCATATATTTTATCAATGTTTGTCAGTAATTACATGTATCAATATTGTCCACAAACTTTACGGACAACCCTCGTACATTTTTTGAGTGCAACAAGTATTTTAGTGGCATGCTGCATAAAACTTTTATCAATTAGTGAATTCCTTTTGCATTGTCTGACTATACCTGTATCTCAGTCTCCAAACTGTACACATACAACTGCTTATTTCTATAGAATTCATATTTCATTACCTTTATTGATAATAATGTTGTAATCTTTTTTTGTATTTTTAGTAATTTATGAATACTTCATTGAAAATATAATTAACACTGTCAGCTTACAGGTAAGAGCCAGGTATGAACATTTGTTATCGATGTAATACAATTTATCAGATACCTTTATAATAAACATTTAAAACTAAAGAAAATGAAAATCACTTCAAAGTAAACATACAATGAAACCAAGTTTTACTGTGCTCATAGACACTGGTAAATTATTGGTTGTATGAATAATTTTTCTGCATTTAAAAATCTTTGAGACAAACCACAAAAAAAAATAAGACCATGTGTAGTGATTTAGCTTAGTGTAAGCTTCTATGATGGTTATACCGTGGTTCCTTGGCAGAACTGGAGGCTATAACAGTCTCCCCTGACCAGCCACTGGGATCAGTGATAACAGGTGCCCCCACCAGCGGATGACTGGAAATATAACCATGTTAGTAAAAGTGAAAACGCCTCCACCAAGCATGCATAAATAAAAGCACAACAAATAAACATGATAAAACGTTTGCAAGAAGAAATGCATGGAAATGCATCGAACTATTGTTAAAATTCAAAACTAATATTAGCAATAAGGTTCATCATTCTTCTCTTTAGCTTTTCAATTTTTTTTATGGCTATAGCACAGCATTTTTTTTTCACACAGAAAACTAAATAATTTTTTAAGTAAATGCACACAATTTCAGCATACCTTTTATAAGCTAATGATATTTTTTAAAGGAAAAAGTCTTTCTTTTTTTCTAAATGAGAGCTTATCAGAGAGTCACTGAACCTTAAACATCATTACATGTATCTTGAGTTGCATCCACAGCTAATTGCTAGAAAGTTTTTGGTATATCTGAATGAAATTATTCATAACTAAGCTCTGTAAAAAGTTTATTGTCAATTCCATCTACCTCTTGCACCACTTTGTCTGTAGAATGTTAGTTTATTCTCTTATGTTTTAATGGATATCAACACAATTTCTTATGGATATAATAAAGACATCTTTAAATATGCAGATTTGCCATTCTTTTTTTTTTTAATTTGATTTCAATCCCTGCTGAGAGATCCCTTTTGTAGATGTATATTTTTAAAATCTCATAAAATTTCTGAATATCAACCTATGAAACAGCTCAATTCCAGTAAGCCATAGACCAAATCTAAATTTACCCTATTATATACATAATTTTGTAATTTGTGAAATAAAGTTCTGGTCAATAAAGTGTAACAGTGTTCGTCAATTCCTTAATTCTGGCCCCTTTTACCAAATATCAGTCAGCAGCAATTTTATATGACTTAATTTTCTGATCGAACTATACCAAATACAAAAGTATGTCTTCCATTTTTAAAATTGAAATGTCAACAGATGCATCTTTATTTTTGCAGGCATAGATTTCCTTGAAAGTCATTGTATGTGAGCTAAATAATTACCAAACAAACTATCAAAATCAGAAAGTCAAATAGACTACTTACATTTTGTTGCTTGATTTCAGATTAATTTCCATGATGTGATATTCAAACAATGACATTTTAAGTCTCATTCAGAATTTTAATAAAGAGTCCTCCATGCTTATTAACTAATAACTTTAATATTAAGATGTGAACCCCCGTACATCAGCTGGTTTCCATACATCCACAATAACTACACGACTATAACGACATACAAGCCTCCTCCCTGTAGAACATCACTACCTTCTTCATCCTCTGCTCAGGGAACCCACGTTCCTTCATTATTGGGTGATAATAAAAACAAACTCTCATTACGTTCAATCAGTGCTTTGTATTACTTTCCTCGTCACAATAGCCTAAGGCCAGTTTACGACGTATTATCCCTTTCAGAGTAATTTGTCTCTGTTAGTTTATGTCTGCTCTCTTTCGGTGTGTGTTTTATGAACTCATTTCTGTTTCCAATAATGCACATCCTATCTGTCTCCTTCAGGCACTAATGTACCGCATTACGTCATATATAGGTAACAGCCAGTAACTAAATGTTGTCTCAATAAGAGTAATGAGGCTGAAGCAGTTGGATTAGTCAAAAACATCCTTAACATTATTAGCAGTAACAATTCTCATGCATTTCCACATACAAAACTACAAACCAGTACTGTATCTCACCTACTAGCTGAGCTAAAGTTTCTCAGATTAGTTAGCTACACTATGGTCTCACACCTGCTTTTGGCTTTCTAAACTCCCTTTACCAGAACACATTAATGATATGTAAATTTTAGCATCTTTTCATTCTGTTTACTACCTACCCTTGCTTTTGGCTGCTTCCCATCAGCTGTTGCTCACTGTAGCCCTGCCCATCATACTAAAACAGAAATAACATCACTGCATTAAACATCATTAAATTAGCCAGAGGCCCATGGGTCACACAGCTCATCTAGGTAACTTTATACCTTTGCATCTACACTACCTGATGATGCTTCCATATAATTTAAATATGACTGATCATGGCTTTGTTGTCTTGGAGAAGATTTTTAAAATTCTACCTTTTTATACCTAGGGCTTGTTATTCTTAAGTAATATGGGTTTGTTGTTCTTGAGAGACAATTCTAAAGATTTTCTTATATATACATGTACCAATGATGGCCACATCCTTTAACTGCATGAGGTTCATGATTTGAACAAACTTGAATCTACGATTCCTCTAGGTGCTTCCATATGAAAATGAGTTTATTATGACTTAGCATGGCTTTGCTGTTCTTGAGAACATTAATTTCTAAAGATATTTCCCATATATAATTAAACATGAGATATTTGTAAAACACTGATGACCTCCCCTCCTCCAAATAACTGAAATTTTTCTGAGCCCAAGGGGCATAACTCTGTCAAAAAGGCATGACCCTACCCAAAACAGAATTTGACTTAGAAATTTTATGATAAATCTGTATACCAAATTTCATTTCAATATGTGCAACCTCTGCAAAGAAAATGAATGGAAACTGCAAATAATTGGAATTTTTCTAAGTCCAAAGGGCATAACTCTGTCCAAAATGGCTCGATTGTACCCAAAACATAAGATGACTTAGATATTTTTATAAATCTGTTTACCATATTTCATTTTAATACATGTATGTGCAACCTCTGCAAAGAAAATGAATGGAAACTGCATACAATTGGAATTTTTCTAAGTCCAAGGGGTATAACTCTGTCAAAAAAGGCTCAGTCATACCCAATACAAAACTTGACCTAGATATTCTTATGATAAATATGCATACCAAATTTGATTTCAATATGTGAAACATCTGCAAAGAAAATGAATGGAAACTGCATATAATTGGAATTTTTCTAAGTTCAAGAGGCATAACTCTGTCAAAAAAGGCCGATCATACCCATAACAAACCTTGGCCTAGATAATTTTATGATAAATCTGTATATCAAATTTCATTTCAATACATGTATGTGCAACCTCTGCAAAGAAAATGAACAGACACTGCAAATAATTGGAATTTTTCTAAGTCCAAGGGGCATAACTTTGTCCAAAATGACTAAACTGTACCCAAAACAGAACTTGACCAAGATATTCTTATGATAAATCTGTATACCAAATTTCATTTCATTTTGTGAAACCTCTCCAAAGAAAATAAATGGAAACTGATGGTGGACCGACAGACAGCAGCAAAGTAATATGCCCTCCCTTCTTCGAAGAGGGCATAGAAAAAATGTTCAGCCATAGTGGCACAACCTACCCTTGAGGTTTATGATTTGAATTTACTTTACTCCCCACTACGTTAGAAGGATTTCATATAAGTTTCCTTTTTTTCTGGTCCAGTGGTTCTTGAGAGGAAAATTTTTAAATGATCTCACTAACTACCTAACTATTTCCTAATAATCTCCCCAAGTAAGATAGTTTTGCCCTTCATCCGAAAAACCTTAAATTCCCTTTTATAGTTTGTTGGGCATATTTTTAAAATAGTGTCATATTGGAATAGTCACATACAGTTCTTAACTTGAAGTCATTTCATGTAACAGCTGTTCTCTTTTCATTTCCAATCAATTTCCTACGGAAGCCCTTAGGTGCCAGGTAGAAAAATATATTTTATCTGGTGACCGCCATATAAGTTTCTGGCTGACACCACATAAATAACTGGCATCGCCCTGAAACATATTTTGCGGAAACAAATAATTTTTTGGTGGCTGTGAAATAATTATTTAGCATCTGCCAGATAAGTTATCAGTTGGAAGCCAGATGCCAGAAACTTATTTGGCGGCTGCCAGAAATTTTAGTTTTTCTACCTGGCACCAACTGGCTTCTGTAAATTCCTATCATATTATTACATAATTCTATTCCTCAAAATAAGCAAGAACAACAAATATGAATCAAGCATTCCTTGATTAAAGAATCGGCATACCAAGTTAAATCTGTAGTGCCTGTGAATGAAATCTACAACAAAATGTTGGGATGTTCATAGAAAACATGGATTCTAGAAAAAAGATATGTTTGTCATAATAGAAAAAGTAAAAAACAGAATCTACTGACTAGGTCTCTTGCATTTAAAATGCATTCCACCAAATTTAACCCTCAATATGAACTTTTGCTTTTGGCCTAATTGTTACAAGCAAACAGTTTGGATTTGGTCCCCACAAAGGGAGGGGGCTTCAACTCCTTTAAGGATCTCCATAATGGTGCAAGTGTGGGAGTAACTCACTCCCACACAGATTTCGGCTAAGATTATCAGTGAATGGCTATTTGAACAAGCTAATTCAGAGAATCTGTGTTCCCGCTGAAGAAAAAAAGAGGATGATGCTCAGATTTGGGGGGGGGTGACTCCCCCTTCCCCCAATTTGCAGAATTAAATTATGTATTGAAGCAAATAAAAATGCCAATATGGATATGAAGATTTGACTGCTTATTCTTTAAATGTGTATACATATATGAAGCTATAAAATATTTTTCACACAATAAAAATATTCTGTACATGCCATACATCATAATATCTTCATTTCAGATGCCAAACATACTTAGTTTCATCAAAGAATACATAACAATTTAATTGTAAAAACTCAAAAGTATCTTGAGATATTGCCTCGAAATGAAAGTTTACACATACACAAAATGTATGAGTTTATGACCTTGACCTTTTTGATCTCAAAATAAATAGGGATCTTCTTTAAGCCATATGCATTGTGGTATAAAATATAAAACATCATTGCAAAAACTCAAAGATCTCTTGAGATATCAGATGGAAACAAAAGTTTTAAAACAGACAGAATCTTTTTCATATATGATCTTGACCTTTTGACCTCAAAATCAATTGGGATCTTCTTTAGGCCATAGGGAGTAGAATTTCATTGCAAAAACTCAAAGGCTTCCCAAGATACTGTGTGGAAACAAAAGCATTACAGACAGACAGAACTACAGATGGAATGACAGATGGACAGACAGATGGAACTTCAGATGGATGGACAGACAGACAGACCGAAATAATTCAAATTAACATCCCCAACTTTCAGCGGGGGACAAAAAATATATTTGCACCATCACAGAGATGCGCTGTGATTAATTGTAGCTCTCTCCAATCAAATATGGAATTAAAAACAAACAGAGGGGGCTAGATTAAATATAGCAGCTAGCTCCCAAAAAGTGTAGGGTGCTTCTAATCTACTGAATACTCTCTTATCACAAGAGATAGTATAAACAATGACATAATATATTTGAACATATGCACATTTTCAAGACTCTCTTATTCTATGAATATTTACCTTAATTTATGAATAAAACTAAATTTATAATATTAAACTACGTCATTCGATCAATTATCAGCCACTTTAGATACAATAAGACCTTTTGAGGCTCCAGTAAGTTACTAATATAAACAATGCATTATAAAGGGTTCATTTACCTGGCACTCTGTCAAGGGTATTTCATCGGACGTTGAGCTTATTTTTTCTCGGCTTTTCGGAGCTTTAATTGGCGTTTGCTTTGTTGAACCATAAACTCGAATCTTTTCATCTTCGTCTGATTCAAATGCATCCTCAATGTTAAATTTATCTTTACTCATCTTGACGGGCATTGATTATTGACATCTCCAACCATATTTGTCCCTTATATCATTTAAAATAAAATACATGAAATAAAAATAGATAGATATGTTTAAAATATATACAAAGTGAATCATAAAAAAATAATAAATTAATTATTTATTAATAAATATTCATGTTTGAAGTCACAAATGGTGAATTTTCTAATTATGCGTAAAAAAAACATTGATATAAGCGACAATAACTTCCACCAGTTTGAGTTAGAATCATGCCGAATTTTGTTGTGTACACCAACTTGCCAAAAGACAAAATTCCGAAGGATTTCCTTCAACAAGCCTGTGCTTTTATTTCAAAAGAATTGGGAAAAGCCGAACATGTATGTTGTCATGTTGTCATTCTTCATTAAATATATTTGCAAGCACTGCTAAGTCAGTAAATGCCTAACTCTAACACTGTCTAACTATTCTCTTTAGATAAGTGGACAGGCGGGTGGTTTCGCTCCAATTACGTGTTAGTGGTTTCGCTCCAATCAGCCTGATTCGCCCCGCATGTATATTATATATAAGCTTTGAAGTTTTAAAGAATTTCTGTCTGTATGAGTGCTTCTAATGAAGAATATTATTCTATTTTCTAATTACTGATCAATGTGTCTGTAAGTTTCCTTGTTATACATAATTTGATATTGTAAATAAACTGAAACAATTAATGACAGCCTTCATTGAAAAATCAACGCTATTTGTGAAATAAATAAATATATTTTAATATCCAGTCCTAAATTATTCCAAATTAGACGATCAAATCTGTTCAAATAGTCATAATTTGGCTAAAAATGGCCTCACTAAATATATTAATACAAAATGGGATTTGTGAAATAAATATTATATTTCAACAGAAATAAATATTATATTTTTACATCCAATCCTAAATTATTCAAAATTAAACGATCAAATTTGATCAAATAGTCATAAAAATGTTACTACAAAATGGGATAATTGTCTAACATAACACGACATTAGCGCTTGCAGTGGCGTAGCGTGCATCAAATATATGTGTAGGCATTAAAAAATGAAGCTGCAGGCTTCACTGAGGCGCGAAGAGCCGAAAGGGGATAGGTGCGGGAGGGGATCACCCCTCCTGCCAGGGGGGTTTGGGGGACCTCCCCCGAGAAAATTTTGAAAAATAGACGCAAAATTAGCACTTTTGAAAGAAGAAAATTCTTAATTAAAACAAAAAAATTGATGCTTGTTATAGTTATTTATTTGGACATTTTGAGAATTTCACCCATTACTGTTTAAATCTTGTTTTTTTTTTGACGCAAACTCTTATAGATTCCCAAGATATATGTCACCTCAATGTACATTGAAGTTGAAAGAATTTTTTAAGCAGATTATTTTTAGACACCCCCTCCCCGTGATTTGAATATTTGGAAATGATGATACATATATACATTTTACTTCGGTAACTTGGTTAATTGGGATTATAAAACATCAAAAGATATCCACTTTGTTGTGAGAAACTCAATTTTTCTTAATTTGTCAAAGATTGCAGGAATGTCCCATGACATCTTTGTATGGGGTACTCAGTTTGACTGCTAACGCCACTAAAAGAAACAAGACTGTAAATTATGTTTTACAACTATAAAAAATATATGTATATGTACTGAATTTTACTTTTTTTGATTTTATTTATTATTGACAAATTAATTTATTACATTAATTTTATTTTTAAAAAAAGCTTGACCAAATATTTTGCCCCAAATTTTGTGTAGGCATTTGCCTTTTTGCCTTAATGGACGCTACGCCACTGGCTTGGGGTTCATTAATTAAAAGCTACTAGGTTATATAATTACAGGTAATCGGGGGGAAGCCATTCTGTATACTACCCATATCTTACCTGTAGATACCTGTAGATAAAGGGGGCGAAACCACCCGGCGCGATACCACTCGGCGCGAACACGTAATCGGCGCGAAACCACCCTACACCAGTGGACAGGCTTTCGTCCATGTAGGCGAAAGCCTGTCCACGTCTCAAAAGAGAATAAACTCTAACTTCACCATTTTACACAGTAAAGCTAGAGTCAGGCACTTAGCAGTGCTTGAATTGCTAATATATTCAATGAAGAATGACAACATTCATGTTCGGCTACTACTACACATGCTCACGTAACAGTAATAGTCTTTCTCGTCCCGAGACCCTTTAGAGTTTTCTAACTAATATGCATCCAAATAAGCAAAAGTCAACAATACAGAAGGGCTCCCAAATTATGTAAGCAGAATCAAATCTGGAAAAATAATCCGAACAGCGGTTATAGCATTTACTTTCATTTTCTCATATCTCAGACACAATATTTGTTATCATGTAAAAAATTTCTGGTAAACTTGGCTGCCACACTCCCCCTTCCAGTTCTTTGGTCCCTGAAGACGCAACCAATTGTGTGTTCAGAGTATTTCTAGTGATACCATCACAATTTGTACTGTTGGTACCATTGGATCCATATAATGTACTCTGAACAGTTTTAGGGTTCAGTTGGTAGGAAACTCACAAATATTAACAATGGCACCATTGGTGTACCATTGATTACCATTGGTAACATTGGCTGAAAAATTGTTTTAAGTAAAACTTACATTGTTTGTAGTATATTACTGTGCGAGTAAATGCTGACCAGATGATGAGTATGGGAAATTCTTCTGATCCTTGTGCAAGTGTAGAACTGAAAAACATCACAGATGGAGCAAAAAATAAAGAACATGCTGTAAACATTACCGACTTTGTGGAAAGAACACTCAACATCCCAAAGGACAGGTAAAAAAAAGATTTACAATAGTAAATACTGCTGTAATTTAAGAGTACGAATCATATTGATATGAAATTTGATTTGAACTCTTAATTGTTGAAATGTATAAAGAATTTTCTTGAGTATGTACAAATCCAACTATTGAATATTAAAAAAGTTGTACAATATAAAGGAAAGAGGACCTCTGCATCATTATTTTCAAGCTGATTTATCTACTATATCTACAGGTTTATGATCACCTTTACAAATGAGAGAAGAGAAGATATTTCATTTAATGGAAAAACCTTTGCATGAGGAGTAATTGTGCTGTCAAATTACAGACAGTGAAGATATTGACTTGACATGATGATTATGAAGGAGGAATTTAATCTGCTTAGTGCAATATTTAGATGCCATTAATTCAATAAAAACGGAACATTAAAAAAAAAAATATTCTTTGTATTTTATGGGAGTCACTGAAAATGTTTTTAAAACATAATACATTTTTTAAGGGGGGTAGGGAGGGTACTGTGATGGTTATAGCTATCACTGTCCATTTCTACATTGATAAATTTTGTCTGCAAATTAACTCTGGAACTATTTTTATTGTAGAGCACTTTTTTCAGATTAATTTGTACAATGAAGAAAGTCTTATATAGGTCACTGAAGCTCAAAGGCTCAATGAGTCATGTCTCAACACATTGAACTTCAAAGAAAGATTATTAATGAGAATATATAGCATAACAATTCCCAAGACCATTATTGTAAGTTCAAGGCCATTTGCAGTGAAAGCATAAAATTTATATCAGATCAATAACTTTTTAATGGAAAATAATGGAAGTCCATATCTTAATCAAAGATTACATATAGCCAGTCAGACAGACAAACCGAAATAGTGAAAGCGGGGGGGGGGGGGGGGGGGGGGGAGAGATGCCGAGTTTCTGATCGACAATATCAATTTAAATTTTTGGAGATCAGCTGTTCCAAAAATCTAACAGAATTCCCATGGGTACCTGTTCCGCCCCTTTATTGTCCCCCGCTTTCAGCAGTGTCGGTCTGTCTATCTGTCGGTAAAACTTTCATTTCTTTTCTATATATCGAGAAGCCTTTGAGTTTTGCAATCAAATTTTATATAACATATTCCTACGGCCTAAAGAAGACATCTTTTGATTTTAAGTTCAAAAGGTTCAGGTCGAAAATTTATACATTTATACATTTTTTTTCTGTGCATGAAATTTTTAATTCCGGGTTGCATTGTATATCCAAAGAAGCATTTGAGCTTTGTAATGAAATTATTTAGCATAACACTCAAAACCGAACCCCCGCCCTTTTAAAGTGCCCTTTTTTGATCCCTCTCACGATCCCGCGCATGCAGCCCTTTTTTTCCTTACGCAGGGGACACATACTTATGGCACGCCAAATTCACAAAAATGAGATAATCATAGTTTCACAATCGATAAACTAGGTTTATCGGTTGTAAACTATAGTTTACAAACCGTAAACTATAGTGAACAACGTTAATCTATATTTCACATCTGTAAACCATAGTTAATGCGACAATTATGGCACGCCAAATTCACAAAAATGAGATAATCATAGTTTCACAATCGATAAACTAGGTTTATCGGTTGTAAACTATAGTTAACGATTCGTTAAGTATAGTTTTCATCCGTAAAACTATATTTAACGGTTGTTAATCTAAGTTTATGTGTCTGTAATAAGCGTTAACAATAGATTTTGTTGATAAACATAGATTCACGTTTGTAAACTATAGTTTACAATCGTAAACTATAGTTAAGAGTTGTTAATCATAGTTTCACAAATCGTGAAACTATATTTAGCAGATCATTAACTATAGTTAACGGTTTGTAAACTATAGTTTACAAATCGTGAAACTGTATTTATCAGATAATCTATGTTTTGCAATCGCAAATGATTGTTTTCAGTGTTAAGTATAGTTTACGGTTGTGAAACATAGATTATCGCGTTAACTATGGTTTACGGATGTAAAATATAGATTAACGTTGTTAACTATAGTTTACAGTCCGTAAACTATAGTTTACAACTGATAAACCTAGTTTATCGACTGTGAAACTATGTTTGCCTCATTTTTGTGAATTTGGCGTGCCATAGATAATCTATGTTTCAGATAAACTATGATATGACAGATAAACTTAGATTAACATTCGTAAACTATAGTTAACAACCGTTAAATATAGTTTTACAGATGAAAACTATACTTAACGAATCGTTAACTATAGTTTACAGTCGATAAACCTAGTTTATCAATTGTGAAACTATGATTATCTCATTTTTGTGAATTTGGCGTGCCATACATACTAGTATTCGCTGAATTGGCTAATTGGTAGACCTATTGTTGCATTGATATGAAGAAAGATTTCTTCAAAATCTTATGCATAAGAAGAAGTAAAACTTAAATGGCCTTCAATTGACATTTAGATATATCAACGGTGTATTATTAATTAATGTTATACGATAATACACCGTATTTCCCTGATTGGAAAAAACCTTGCTTATAAATTCTTAATCATTTTAGAATATCTTCTTCCAACTGTCCCAATCATGCCTTTCTGATTTGTCCAACACTTTTTTCTCATAAGGTATGCAATCTGGTCTGTAGAGCACATTATCATCTTCAACGTACAACATTCTGTTTTAGAATTGTGAGCTTTAAAGTCATTGTATGCGGTTGACCATCCCAAGCTCACGTATCTATTAAAGTAGCCCAGACTAAATTCTTTAGAATGTGAAAGATTCACGAGCACTTAACTCTGTTAGTTACTGATTTCTTAAAATATATGTTTGATAAACCTTTACTCTAGTCTAACAATTCGGCATAAAATCTTTAGCTATACTTAGTCCAAATATATGAATCTATAAAATATAACAATCCCGATCATAAAAAAAGAAAAGCAAAGAAATTTTGTCATCCCCGCTTGAAAAGTGGGAGGGTATATAGTGATCGAAATGTCCGTACGTCCGGCTAGCTGTAAGTCCGTCCGTAACGCTTTGGCGTACCCATCTCTTATCCGCAACTCCTCTTTTACCACTGAATGAAATTTAATGAGATTTCACAGAATCTTTGCTACATAATGCCATTGTGCACCTCCTGTTTTAAATTTTGATTGGACATATATCTGGCCTTTCCGGAGCATACCATGAACACTGATATTCTTTCTGTAATATTGAAGGGTATCCATATCTCTTATCCGCACTCCTCCTTTACCACTGAATAAAATTCAATGATACTTTCACCGATTATTTACTATATACGAGGGTTGTTCGAAAAGTTCGTGGACGATGTCCATCTTCGTTATATCACTCACTGGAAATTTAAAACAAGCACATTATAATGTGTAAAAATATTTGTTTTGTTGATGTGTGAAGTTTCATTCCATTCGATTGAACACAAATAAATTTACTTCATTTTAGACTCAACATGTTTTGTACCCGCGGAGCACACAAAACGGCAATGTAACGTCAACACATAGCATCGAGAATTTATAATAGATACTATACCTATACATTTCACACAGGATATTCCAATGCCCATTCACTAAATTCTTTTTCCATAACTTGACATTTATTTTTTAAGAATATATCTCATTGTATAATTTCCTTTGTTAAGGTTTTAATTTCTTTTAGTTCTTAACTCTGCTTTCACAGGATAAGCAACTCTGAAGCGCCTTTGTCTTTCATTTACGGCAAAAAATTTTTAAGTTTACTCAGATGTTTACAATAAAATCTTCACAAGTCATAAAATATATACAAGTCTCTGTCACTCAAATATTACCTGTACTATTTGTACACACATGAACAACTCTCTTGTGACACATCTTCTTGATTCCTTCAACATTTTTAGAGTTTATTCAGGATTTTTCCTGAGTAAAACACAAAATTGTATCGGTATCTGCTGCTCTGTGACGTTCTAAAACGTCATCGTTTTTGTCGTTTTCAATATGGACTACTTATCTTCTCAAGTTGATTTCTTTTCAACAAAGCAAAATATAAAACCATAATTTGGTACACGTATCGAAGTAACAATTCTTAATTAGAATTTCTAGGTAGTTTTGTGTTTTCCCTCCATTTTACAAGAATATGACTATAGACATTCTTTATTATTAAATTTTAACCTGCTCCGCGATCCGATTTTTGCATCTTTAAAATCTGGATAAGTTTTTAATCAATCGTAATATTTTGTCGAAATTAATACATATCATTTGGATTTATTGTTAAAATATTTCTACCAAATTTGGATAACATATGACGTCAAATAAAAAAGATATGACAGTTGTCCACGAACTTTTCGAACAACCCTCGTACATAATGCCATTGTACACCTCCTATTTCAATTTTTGATCTAACACTTAAGACCGCGGAACATTAACTGGCAAAATTGGAAATATACAGCTTACGTCATTTCTATCTTCTGTTACAATAAAAACATTCAGTGATAGACAATGAAATGGGCGGGTACAATTCGACCCGAACGTGGGGAAATTGCAGATCGAAATTCTTTTTCAATCCGCCTGAGCTGTTTTCAAAGCAAAGAGTGAATGTATGATCCAAAAATCAACTAATTTCAAATCCCAAATACATATTGTTTGAAGTTCACATTAATATGAGTTTTAGCTTACAATTTTAAGAGATATTTGATTCTAGAAGGGGGGGGGGGTAAAAAATTGTCGAGTCAGGTCATGGCTTAACGTGACAATGTATTTTTTATTTCTAGGATTAAAAGAGTGCATGAGTTTTATACTTATTCTCACTGAAAATTGTTGGACAACTTTATCTAAAAATCGTTCACCCCCCCCTCCCACCAACACAAAGATATACATATATTTACCAACCTTAAATATTAATTTATTTAAAACACTGGACAAAAGAAATTTAAACTGTACCAAAATTGAAACTATTTGTCTTCTGGGTCAGTCAGTAATAATGTGCCTTCTAGCGTAGCTGAGGTGGATTGAAAATGAATTTCTATCTGCAATTTCAATCCGATGTTTTCCCCACGTCCGCGTCGAATTGTACCCGCCCATTTCATTGTCTATCACTGAATGTTTTTATTGTAACAGACAGAAATGACGTAAGCTGTATATTTCCAATTTTGCCAGTTAATGTTCCGCGGTCTTATTTCGGGTCTCCCGGGGCAAAGCATGGATTTTGCCATTATAATCAGATGAGGGGCGGGGGAATATCACAGTACCTCTAGGTTTGGCTCTGTGATCAACAATTTTACAAGAGCCTCTAAAGAATGTGAGATAAATTCAATTTTTCTTGCATAATATTAGATAACGCCACTAAAAATAATTAGCACTTATGTCAGATAAAACGTTGCTATAATTG